GATTTTTAAGTTGTTTTTGTCTTATAAACAATGTCCCACTGTCCTGAGCTACTTTTTTTTTTTTTACGTAGACGTTTGTGGAGAAGTTCACATACTTTTAACACTTTATTATAAAAATTAAAGATATCTTCAAATATTTTGTGATAAAAGTGCTTCTAGACAGAAACAGAATTCTATGCATTCTACCCCCATCTCTTAAAACTGACAGAAAAATGTTCCTATGTGAAGAAATTCCTCTGGCTATTAGTGAGTCCATTAAACAGCACTAATCACATAATGCATAACTACTAGTTATAATTGTGCATCATAATTAAGTCCATTCACCAATGTTAGTTATCCAGAGATTGAAAAGAACTTGATTATTCATGTGTGGACCATATTATCTCTTCAAAGAGTTTTTGAGGTTCAAGCTTTAGAGGTTAATTGACTCTTTAGGAGTCCATTGAGAAGGCACAGAATTCAAAATGTTGTGATTTAATCACTTCAGTAATTTTCAAATTAATACCATGCTTGATTAAGGTTTTTTAAAAAATATTACAGTCACCATTTACCCAAGTTGAAGGAAGAGATGTTCTGGCTCTCAAAAGGCATGTCTCAGCTTAAAGTAATAGTTTCTACAGTTTCTTTACTTTCTCCACCTTGATGTTGAGCCCCAAATTAATGTGTATGCATTTAACAAAGTTGACTTGAGAGTACTATTTAAACGTAGTATTCAGTGCATTTGAATCTTCACAGAAAATTGACAGGACACCATTATTTGGAAGCATAATAGACTATCTTTGAAAATTTATTTTTTCAAAATAGATTTAGAACAAACAGTGGAAACTTGTAGTGGACAATCCTGTATTGTGGGACCTTTAGTCTTTCTACAGATTCCAATACTTTCTTTTTCCATTTAAGTCAATATGATACTGCCTTGCTTCCTGACACTTCATTACTGCTAACCTGCTGCTTACTAATCTATAGTTATGAAGCTAGATGCCAAATAGAAAATTCAGGCTTATGTTACTATCAAAGAAGAGCTATAAATTCAATGATAAGATTTAATTAATCTTTTATTATTACCATCTTTGAAGTTCAGGTAATAAATTGTGGGCTTGGCCAGAAGTACCTCTTCTGATTCATTGCTGGAGGCCAGCACTTCATGCATCATCAAAAATGGACAGCTTTCTTTATTTCATGGGTTATTTAACTTGAGAAAGGGAAAGTAACACAAACCTTAAATTTCTTATTCTAGCTATTCATTTTTTTGGAGCCAAAGTCAACATTTGTATTTCCCAAGAGCCTCTCACGTTCACTGTGGAATGTTTAGAAACTGATTTTTTTCCCCTTTTTAACGACCAGCTCGTCTGTGCAAATGCACTGGATTTGCTGAGCTAATGCTGTTTCTCTGGATCTTTCCTTCTTTCCCTATCTGTGCTGCAATGACTCCCCACCTTTGCAATGTAGCAGGCCGAACAGTTGTTCAATCAGATGTACAATCCAGTAAGTCATTTCTGAAAGTTCCCGCTGTAACATATCAAAGCATGAGGATCCACTGAGCCCCGTGTCACAGAATGCCACACTGGGGAGGTCTTGAAACTCTGATCAGGCTCTTCTTCCTATTTCCACTCTGTCAAATGAAATGACCCACATGAGGCCAATGCCATTTCTTTGAAATTTAAAAATTAAGAGGTTAAGGAAATATTGCCAGCTCTGATAGTCCCTCCTTTCTAACTTCAAACTTCAAGCTGTAGAAAACCAAA